CTTCATCTTTAGCCATTTCTCTGACTTTGAAGCCATAGCTGTACTCAGTCTGAAATGAACCAGCTTTTGTCCTTGGATATCGACATCGGGGGCATTAGGAGTAATTTCTTCCCAAGCCAACTGCCGTCCTTTGTGGTCCTCCAAAAGCTCAGACCGCCCCTTCAAGAGCCCTCCTGCCCCTCCCCCAAACCCCACCGCAGTTAGAAGGAGACTTCCTGGGTGAAAAAAGAAGCTGTCCCCTCTCCCAGAATGACCACACCTGCAGCTGGACTGTCCTCTGCACACCAACCACCTTCACCTGTCCCCCTCCTCCAAAGTACAATCGGTTTTTGCCCCAAGAGAAAGAGTTTCTAGTTACAGCTCTGTTAAAAACACAAGTGAAAAGAATATACAACTGCATACAAAGTGCTCTGATTTTTGGAATGTGCATGCTAGTTTAAAAAACTGCTGAGAGAAAACCCAAACCCAAATTGACTCCAAGAATTTCATCAGGGGTCCCTGCCCAAGGCTGCTAGGGCTCCTTGCTGCTTTTCTAGTGTTTCTAGACCCCAAGACTCCATAATATAAGGGAAAAGCTACTGTTAGCAATGTGGTTAGGACCACAGGGGCCTCAACTGAAATACTTCTGCTAAGATCTGAACCATGTATCCTCAGTATCATGCAGACTCCTGCTCTCTTCCTCACAGTCGGAGCCTTCTTATAGCCATCATCTCTCTAAGGGAAAACTTTAATTAAGCACTTCCTTCTTTAATATTTCCTTTTCCTGCCCCTCTCCCTCCGCCCCCCACAAAATTGATGAGATATTGCAAAGAGGTCACAATCAAGTCTCAGGACTGAACCTAGGAAAATGGGGGGAGGGGCTCTTTTGAGGTCCAGAAGCTGTATTTTGAGGAGCAAGAAAATTAAATCTGAGATCCACATTTCAAGGAAACATGTCAAAAAGGAAAGAGTAGAATGGCATTAGGAACTCAGGTTCATCTACTTTTGACACTTACAAGTCTTCTGACCATGAAGAAGTCATTCCAGGTGCTCAGTTAAGTCCCTAGGACTTATCTACCAAGTTACCTAATGCTACAATCTCTGCATGGTAAAGTGTGTCCCACACTGGGAGTTCTCCACCCTAATGAAATCACAACTCTTTCCCCTATTTGTATTTGTGTTTAGTGGAGCTCAACATCGCAAACAAAAGCACAAGCCCAATTCTGGAAGGCTCATACAATCTCCCATTATCTATCTGCCAAAGCCAAGAACAGTCGAACTTTTGGAAATTCAAAAATTAATTTCAGCCCATGCTCTAATTTAACTATGCAGTATGGATCCTCCTTTTAAATCATAAAAACTGCTTAACCTCCCAACCTCAATTTCATTGTGGGAAGGATATAAGGTTTAGCTGCTTCACAGGGTGGTGGAAGCCAGAATGAATTAATGTTTACTAAGCACCCGGATGGCAGAACTATTCTCATTAAATTCTAATTATGATTATCTGCATGTTGGGGGCAATATGGAGTGAAGGGTTGATGCTTGGACCAAATTTGGTATACTGCTTTCCATGCTATGGAATTCCATTTTAAAAAGAATGACTTACATTTTCCTAATTTTTCATGCTTCTCACACACAGCCGCTGTGGAAAATTCTGATTAGTCTAATCTTGACAGCATGAAAATGACATATGGTGAAATCAGGTCAAAAGGGAGAACTCTGATCCTTGTTTTTTTTAAATTCTTTGTCTTTATCTCAGCTTCTGACTGCTCCTTCTCTGAAAGGTCCTTTGTCTTTTTCAAATTAAATCTTCTCCCAGCACCCCTACCTCAAGTAATATTGCACACTAACTGTAAGAGTAATGGTCTAACCTTAAACTCATTTGGCACTAAGACTCCAACCTAAGGATCTTTGTGACCCTGGCCACCACTAGCAAGGGATGAGCAGTGCTTACCAGTACAGCTGACAAGGTGAAGCCATAAACAAGAAGAAAAAATGAGAGAACAAGGAAAGCAGGATGAATAGAGGGGAAATGGGTTCATATGGTTTCTCATCACCAGAATAATCAACTTGTTAGAAGCAGTAATAGGAAAGGGGCCTTGAGATCGCTCTATGCCAGGAGTAAGGGAGCAGGGATATTTATCCCAGAGAACTGAGTTATGGAGGCCATGTTAACTGTCTACAAATATTTGAAGGGCTGTCATGGAAGAGGGATTAGACATGTTCTTTTTGGCACTGGAGTACAGAACTAGGAATTATGAATGGAAAGTCAGTGAAAGTCGGAGACAGAAGACATAAACTTAATGTGAGGACAGATATCCTATCAATGCTAGCTTCTCCGGAAACAGAATGAGCTGCCTCGGGAGTCAGTGGGTTCCCCTCTCACTTAAGGTCATTAAGCAAGGGCTGAACTGACAGGCTGAAAAATTGAGCAGCTCACAAGGCTCATCTAATCAGACCCATACCTGACCAAGAATCCCTTCTGTATTCTCTCCAATAAGTGGTCATCCAGGCTTGAGGATTCAGTTCAATTAACATTTATTGCACATCTACTCCATGTAAAACACTAAGCTAGGTGCTGAAGATCAGAGCAGTAATTAGCAACTTTTCCATCACCTCCAGTGTGGGCAGCGTGAAGTGCCCTCAAATCAACTTCATGATTCATGATGGGAAAATAATACAAGGAGTGATTAAGCTAGATTCAGTTGAGTGGGTAATTAATTACTATAGTGGCTCATAGACTAGTGTTAACCCTGAGCGAGCTGGGAGTTTCCTATTTTACTTACCTTCCTCTTGCCTCTCAGGCATTGTGGCCAGGGGAGTGGTTTCAAAGCCAGGAAGACCTGGATTCAAGTGTTGCCTCTAACATGTATTAGGAGTAGGGTCCTGGGCAGCTAGGTCCAGGATTGGCTAGAGCTCTAGACTTGGAGTTGGGATAAACTGAGTTCAAATCCTCCCTCAGACATTTACTGGCTGTGTGAGCCTGGGCAAGTCATTTAACTTCTTTCTGCCTCAGTTTCCTCCTCTATAAAACTGGCATAATAATGACACCTCCCTCACAAAGTTTTTGTGAAGATATTTATAAAGCTTTCCACAAATCTTAATAGGATATATAAATGCTATTTATTATTATTATTAGACCTCTCAGTGTTCTAGGCAACTCCCTAAGAATATAAATTCTTGAGAAGATGCCAGCCTGCAGTAGTAGAGGAAGTTTCCTCACCTGGGAGTATCCTGTACCAGTGAGATCAAGGTCTAAGTACCTATTCTTAAGAAGGACAGAATTTAATAACACTCTGAAGGACCAAGCTGCCTCAATTGATACAGTGCATTTTTTTTATCCCTAAGGCAAAGAAAATAGAGATAATAAGATGAAAGCTTTTATTTCAAAGTAAAATTACAACTGCTTCTAATTGTTTTTTTTAATATTTTATTCCTCCCCCAACTAAATGTAAAAACAATTTTTAACATTCATTTTTGGTGAGGTTTTTTTAAAGTTTTGAGTTCCAAATTCTATGCCCTCCTCCCTCCCCTCCCTCCTCCCTGAGACAGGAAGCAATCTGATATAGGTTATACATGTGCAATCATGTAAAATATTTCCATGTTAGTCATTTGTCCAAGAAGACGAAAGAAGGAAGGAAGGAATGAAGGAAGGAAGGAGGGAGGGAGGGAGGGGGAGGGAGGGGGAGGAGGAGGGAGGGAGGAAAGAAAGAAAGAAAGAGAGAGAGAAAGGAAGGGAAGAAGGAAGGGAGGGAGGAAGAGAAAGAAAGAAAGAAAGAAAGAAAGAAAGAAAGAAAGAAAGAAAGAAAGAAAGAAAGAAAGAAAGAAAGAAAGAAAGAAAGAAAGAAAGAAAGAGAGAAAGAAAGAGAGAGAGAAAGGGAGGGAGGGAAGAAGGAAAGAAGAGAAAAAGAAAGAATACTCCATTCTGTAGACAGATAACATCAGTCCTTTCTCTGGAGGTGGATAGCATTTTTTACCATGAGTCCTTTGGGATTCTCTTGTACCATCACATTTCAGAGAATAGCATAGTCATTCATACTTGATCATCCAACCCTGTTGCTGTTACTGTGTACAATGGTCTCTTGGTTCTGCATATTTCACTCTGTATCAGTTCGTGTAAGTCTTTCCAAGTTTTTTCTGAAATCACCCTGCTTGTCATTTCTAATAGCACAATAATATTCCATTACAATCATATACCACAACCTGTTCAGTCATTTCCCCAATCGATGGGCATCCCCTCAATTTCCAGTTCCCAGCTACCACAAAAAGAGCTGCTGTAAATGTTTGTCCAAATAGGTCCTTTTCCCTTTTTAAAAACATCTCTTTGGGATGCTTGTAACTATTGGTAATTAACATACATTTGTACAGACAGAAAATATTATAGTAAAAAACATTTTAAAATGTGCATATTTGATAAGCCTGGACCTTCTAATGTTAATCTTGTTAGCTAGGTTCTAAATGTTTCCTGGTTCGTATTGTGCCCTCTAAATTAGGTGGTACAGCAGAGAACTCTGGACCTGGAGTCAGGAACACCTGACTTCAAATCCTCCCTCGGATACATACTATCTGTGCGACGTTAAGCAAGTAATTTAACTGCCTAACTTTCTTCATCTGTTAAAGTGGGGATAATAGCACCTACCTCCCAGGGCTGTTGTGTGGAACAAAGGCACTTACATAAACCCTTAACAAGCTTTATAAATACTAGCCCTTACCATCTTTTCATCGTGATGTCGAAAAATCCCCCTTGCACGGCCCTTGGCCTCCACCTCCTTCCTCACCTCTGCCTCCTTTCTGGCTCCCCTGGCTTTTTCTCATAAAATTCCCAAATAAAATTCCACTTTCTACAGGAAGCCTTTTCCAATTCCTCTTCATTCTAATCCCTTCCCTCTGTTGATAATTGCCCATTTATCCTTTCTATATCTTGTTTGTACACATTGTTTACATGTTGTCACAGTGAGCTCCTTTGCCTTTCTTTGCACTCCCGGTGCTTAGCTCGGAGGAAGAGCTTAATAAAGGTTTACCGTTTGTCTGCCTAGCCCTGGCTGAGAGCCAAAGTGCGGCAATCTCTCCATCACCACCCCATCGCCCACCCAGAGCAGGGATGGGGTGCGCATGCGCAATCGCCACTCGCACGCGGCCCCAACCGGTTGAACGGAAATCGGGCATGAGGGGTAGCTGAGGCGAGGGCAAAGGGGGCAGGGGCCCAGTGGGGTGGGGGAGGGAAGGGGGGGCTAGGGAAGAGGGCCGAGGTGTCGTAGGAGAGATTTTGGACCAAAGGAGCACTCGGCCCTGAGGGAGGCCAGTCTCTGCCAAAGTACGTGAGCTGCGCGGCCCACCCACTCAGGAGGCCGGGGCGAGAGGGACTGCCCGCTCCACCAATGGGGAGGGAGGATGCAAGGGTGGTGCCGGGGATTGGCAAATAGGTGATGGGGGGAGTCTAAAAAAAGTACCGCCCCCTCCGCCAAAGCCTAGACCGGAAATATGAGGGAGAGGAGGAGGAGGAGAGGGAGGAGCCCGACGGGGAGGGTGTGGCTCGGGAGTGATGGAGGGAGAAAGAGGCTGGCCTGGGCTGGTCCTTTTGGGGGAGGGGAGAGAGAACAGAGGAAAGAGGGAAAGAGATAGATAGATGGATGGATGGATGGATAGATAGATTAGAGAGAGAGAGAGAGAGAGAGAGAGAGAGAGAGAGAGAGGTGGGAGAAGGAATCCGTAGTTAATGCACCCCATTGGTGTCAACCCCATCCACAGCCTTTTTCCTCTTCGTGAAGGCGAAGAAGCCTCAAGACCAGGTAAGGAAGGTGGCTCCTGCCAGAGGCAAGCCTTTATTAAGCGCCAACTGTGTGCCAGACTCTGCTGATGCTAAGGATGCTAAGAAAAGCAAAAACAGCCCCTGCCCTCAGGGAGCTTCCAGTCTAATGGGCGAGCCAAGAAGTGTATAACCAAGTCCATACAGAATCTGTGTAGAGTAGGAAGGAGGTAAGCTTAGAGGGGAAGGCTCACAGCCTCATTCATCTCTAAAAGGGACTTTATGATCTAGGCCTAGATTCACAGCCCTAGGGCTGGAACGGCCCAACGAAACCATTGAGCCCAACTTCTCCTTTTACAGTCAAGGTAACCCAGAAATGGAAAGTAGCATTTGCCTCAAGGCACCCAGCAACCTGGAAGCCATCATCTTGTCCAGCTTCCACATTTTACAGAAGGGATGGGAATTGCCCAAGGTGGCATCTCTAACAACCTCTTCATTTTACAGATGAGGAATCTGAGGCTCAGCTGCAAGAGAGTGGGGGTGGGGAATGGGTGACAACATTCAAGGGACAGAGCTGGCATTCAAACACGGATTCTCCTATTCCAGACTGGGCTACCTTGACTCTGCCTGTCTCCAACATCCTCCAGTTTCATTGTTCTGTGACCTACTCTTTCTCATAGCACCAGTCAAATTTGAGCATCATGGTCTGTTCCAGGAAAGGGACTTTACCTGTGGTTTCATTAGTAGAGGGAATACTTCACCAGTGCAAGTTGGCACTTTCTCTGCAACTTATAGTGATAGAGAGAGGCTTAGAGTAAAGGTGTCAAACTCAGGGTTCCAGAACCAGATAAAATGTAATTGGGAAATATTTAACTCAATAAAAATGCGAAGTGTAGATAATGTTAATTTGTGTTTTTTTAAGTCAGTATGGGGCCCACAGGGATCTAATTTATTTGAGTTTGACATTGCTGGCCTAGAGAACTGTGACAGTAAGTGTCTTGCCCAGGGTCACAGCCAGTATGTATCAGAGGTTAGACCTGAACCCATGTTGAACTGGCTTAGAGTAAATAGCTCACATTTTTTAAACATTATAACATTCCCAAGCACTTCATGTATTTATTTCATTTGATTTGAAATTAGAAGAGATGTTAGGGGTCATTTATTCTAAGCCCATCATTTCTTACCAGAGGAAACAGGCCAGAAAGCTTAAAAGATCATACAATTGCAGATTCATCATAGCTCAAGGTGCCTTGGGGAGGGGACAATATTTAGTTTATCTCATCTTACAGGTGAGGAAACTGAGACCCAGTGAAATGATTTACCCATGTCACAGCAGTAATAAATGGGAGAGCTAGGATCCAAGCCCAGTTTCTCTAATTCTAAAGTCAGCTATATTTCCAGTGTACTTTGCCAAGGCTTTAAGGATTTCATTTTAATTAGATTTTTTTTAATTCCAAAAGGGTGGCCTGATTTTCCACTTTTCCCTTCAAAGAACTAGATGTTGCAGCCAATATGGTCTACTTGTCCATTCACAAATACATCATAGTTTCCTCCTGTAATTGGAATGCCTTCTTCTCTCATCTTTACTTACTGAAATCCCCAGTCCTTCAAATCCTTCCATTCTTCCATTCAAATGCTGCTTATTACCGTGGTGTCTTCTCTAATCACCTTGGCATGAAATATCCTTCTCTCTGTTCTCAATTAATCAACAATTATTTATTAAGGACCTACCGTGTACTCGGTAAAGGAGATATAAATAAAAATGAAACAGTCTCTGCCCTCTAGGAACTTATATTCTACGGGGGTTGGGAGGGATAATTTGTTCATAGATAAGTAAATACAGGATCGTGCAATGAACAAGCAAATATTAAATTCCCACTATGTCCAGGGTACTGGGCTAGGTTCTAGGACATACTCACCCAAATGGATCTGTGACCGAATTATCAGGATGTTTGCTCAAATGATATAAATCTTAACCCAGTCATTCTTCTTCTGGGCAACATTTATCCACATCTTCCTGTCAGTTTGCCACAGGTGGTTCACTTGACATTTTGGAGACCTTCCTCAGCCTCTGCTGACATTGAGAGGAGATGAGTGGACCATTCCCTTGTAATCCGTAGCCTTCATCCTATAGGCTGTGATGACATCATCTTTTACTTCTGTTCATCAGAGTTCCTCATTGGCTATCTCTGGCAGCCTGCTCAAACCCACCTTTCCATCGTTCTACCAGAGAGATCCTGGAAGACATTGACTGAACGTTGACAGAATTTGCTTTTGGACTGGACCTTTAATTCCATTAGTATAGAGAATTCCTGGGAGAAAACTCCTTCTACCTAGGCAGATATGCATCCTGAGGCACTGAGAAGTTCCATGATTTGCTAGGGTCACACAGTCAGTGTATTTCTCAGGCACACTTGACCTTAGTTCTTCCTCCCTGCAAAGCTACCCGGATCAGCTTCCACACTACCCTGTACTTCTTCTGGGGCTTGATGTAACTGGCAGAATATTGGTATTGAAAAGGCAGACCTTTGTTTCCTGGAGAATATAAAATATTAGGGTCTTTAAAGGAGCTTTCAAATGTTATTTTCTGAAGGTAATCCAATCCATTCTTCCCCCCTCAACCCAGCTCATCCATTTGTATTGTTTGTCCCCAGTGGACATAATGTTAGGCAAGCTCTATAGGTTGTTCATCCAACTGCATGGCATAATCTGGTCAATAGACAGCCTTCAACCACTTGGTTTCTTTGTGTGGTTGTTTATATCCAGCTTTTTTGAGTGGCTATAGGTAGCTTCCCTGGGGTTTTACATTATTTCAGTGTTTGATATAACCAGTAAAAACATAGGATATATATTTCTTAAAAAGCTCAGGGATGGGGGTGGAAGGCACAAACAACGGAGGAAACAGGAACGATATCTTCAATCAATTGTGTATTTATTAAATGCTTTATGCCAGCACTGTCCTAGGTGCTCAGGGTTCAGAGAAAAAAAAGTGAAACAATATCTGCCCTCAAGGAGCTTGCATTCTATTTGAGGAAACATCATACATACAAATAAATATACAGTAAAAAGTAATTGGGGCATTCAATTAAGGCGTCGTGTGGAAGGTGGCATTTGAGGTCAGCTTTGTTGAGGAGGGAGTGCCACTTCTTCACTGTCTCTAAGCCACACTTCCCATTCTCCTGCTAGGTTTCTAGCCACTGATTGTTGAGCAGTTCGCTTTCTCTTGCCTAGGCTATCATGTCTGCAACATGTGACCTCTTCACCACATTTCCTTCCCTCCTTTCCAGTTCTAGTTTGGAGGAAAGGATATTATTATATCAATGCTGCCATTCCTAGTAAGGATACGTCAGTCAAATACCTTCTGACTCAGTTGACCATTCTTTCTGACTTCATGTCCAAAGCACTTCTCCCTGGCCCTGCCTCACTCAAATCCAATTCAGCACACAAGTCAAGACACCACACTCATGATGCCATTGGTCCTCTTCGAGAATGAAGGACGAATAGATAGAGCTCTGGCCTTGGAGTCAGGAGGACCTGAGTTCAAACCTGGCCTCAGACACTTGACACTGACTAGCTGTGTGACCCTGGGCAAGTCACTTAACCCCACTGCCTAGCAAAAAAAAAAAAGAGAGAGAAGAATGAAGGACAAACACCACCACCACCACCAACTCCCTCTTCTGTTCCGTCTTCCACTTTTTGAATATAAGCTTCTTGAGGGCAGGAACTGTCTCTCTTGTTTCTGCTTGTGTGCCCAGTGCTTAGCACAGTGCCTACCACAAAATGCTTAGTAAATGCTTTTTCATTCATTCATTCTGGGCTGGGGGGACAACTGAGCAAAAGCAGGAAGAGAAGAGAGAAGGTTGTGTATGAGGAAATCAAGACTAATTTGACAGGACCGTCGTGTGAAGGGGAGTAATATATAATAAGGCTGACTCGGGGGATTGGAGCCCGCTTGGGAGAGGCTTTCAGTGCCAAAGAGAGGAGTTGTGTTTAATAGTGGAGCTGCAGAGGTAATACTGAGCAGAAGGGTGATGTGGTGAGACCTGCACTTTAGGCCTATCAATTTGATGGTCGTATGGCTTGGAGTTAGGAGAGACTAGACACAGGGAGATCAGTTATGGAACTTACAAGCAAGAGGTAATGAGGGCCTGGACTAGAGTGGTCGTCCAAGTAGAAGAAAGAGATCTTGAGGAGGATGAGCTGACCAGACTTCTTGTTGTTGCTCCCTTGTTCTCAGAGAGGGCCATGACATCAGGAAGGTGATGCCATGACCTGCAAGTGAATTGGATTGAAGTGAGGTAGGGCTGTGCAAAGTCGCCAGCCTCACTTTCTCCTCTGGAGCCATCTGCGTCCAGTGGCAAGATATAGATTAGGACAACTGGAGGTGGCCCCCAACCAGACTTAACAAGTGATTGGATATATTGGAGAGAGGTGAGGTTAGGATATTGGATATCCTGTTGGATAGGTTAGAGAGAAGAGTTGAAGATTAATCCAAGGTTTTGAACCTGAGTGACTGGAGGAATGGGGGTGCCTTCTACTTAGCCCCTGCCTACCTTTCCAGTCTTCTTACATCTTACATTCCCCCCTTCTAATGTATCCTACAACCCAGTGACACTGGCCTCCTTGCTATACCTCCTTGAAGACCCTCCGTCTCCCAACTCTGGGCATTTTCACTGACTATCCCCTTAGGCCTATGTTGCTCTACCATCACCTCTGCCTTCTGGCTTTCCTAGTCCCCCTTGATTCTAATTCCTTCCTTCTGTTTATTTTCTACAAGAAGCCTTTCCCAGTCCCTCTTAATTCTGGTGACTTGCCTCTGTTAATTATTTCCTATTCTGTATATAGCTCATTTGTACCTAGTGGTTTACATGTTATCTCCCCCATTAGATTGTGAGCTTTTTGAGGGTGGGGATTTTTGCCTTTCTTTGCATCCCTAGCACTTAGCACAGTGCCTGTCACGTCGCAGGCACTTAATAAATAGAGGCACGATGCTAGCTGGCTGACTATTAACCCTTAACAGAAGTGGAGAAGTTGGGGGAGGGGTGGGTTTTGGCCAAAAGATGAGTCCTGTTTTGGATGTAAAATTGAGATGCCAGTGAATCAGTTGGGAGGAGATGTTAAGCAGGTGCAGTACTTGGCTTGTCGTACTCGGGAATCTCACCATATCCAGCCTTCTATCAGAGATATTTGTATGTGTGTTTTGTCTCTCCTACACTCCTTTATGGTAAGACTATGTCTTGTATAAATGTGTACTCCACATAGTGCCTTCAGTAAAGCTGACACCCAAATATTTGTTGGACAAATGAAAACATGCAGATGGTACGTGCTAAAACTTTTAATTCATCTTTATTCCTCACAGAATTTCGCCATGTCTATTACCAAGATCCATGCCAGGGAGATCTTCGACTCTCGTGGAAACCCCACAGTTGAGGTTGATCTCCACACTCATAAAGGTACATGCCCCCTTTGCCTTCCTGGTCCCCAGGCCCTCTTCCAGATACGTTAACATTGGCACAGAATGGCTCCTAGGGACAAAGAGGTGAGGCGGAAAGATCAAATCAAGACCTTCTACCTCAAAAATGTCTCCAAGGTGCAAATCCCCGTCTTTGTTGCCCAGTGGGGCCTTCATTTGCTTGGTTGGTAGATAACCTGGTGTTCCCTCGTGATCAAACAAGCAAGTGTTCTGGACACTGTGGAGAAACCCTTTTATTCAAAGTAGATGGATGTGGACAGGAGTTGTAAGGATGCCAGCTGGACTGTGCTTTGTCTGACAAGCAGGAAAAAAGGAAAAGCCTGGATAAGTATGAGGCCAAATACGTAGAGTATGTTCACTTCCATATTTTCTTACTCCCGTCAAAGATCTGATTTTATCCGCATGGGTGCCCCCTTCTCTGAAGCAGCTCATAATCCATAGTAGGTGATATTCATGAGTTGTTATGGCCAAAATAATTCATCACTTTGTAGCAAGGAGCACCTTGCTTGTATCCTGCTGGCTTAGCCTTTAAGAAACCAGGGTTCCCCCTGCTCCAGTGTGAGGCATCTGAGTAGACACAATCCCTTTGTAACCAGAGAGTAGGAACACAGAGGTAAGACAAAACAACTCCTCTGGAAAAATTATGTGGCCACTGCCATTCTTTTCAGGAAGCAGGAGGGGCAGTGTTTGTGGTGTTCCTGGCAAACAGTAGGGTTGGGGGTTCTTAAGGAGATCCCTTTTGTTAATTCAAAGAGATTTCTCCCCCTTTTTGTAGTCCCCTGTGTCTTAGTTTACAGCTGCCTCCTGAACTGTTTTATACATGAAAAATTAAAAGGAAACAGTCTCCAGGCTAAATGATACTAGTGGTACTAAGGATACTGCTTCCTGGGGAGAGCTGAGTCTGTCCCACTGTGAGTTCTGCCTTGACTACTGAAACCCTTTAGCCTGTCAGAGATGGTATAGAGGGGATTCATGAATCAGGTGGTGGGGTCGGACTGAATGTCTTTCTAACTCTAGGATTCTATAAGCCTCCCTTTCTTCTCCCTACCTCTTTCCCTCCTGCTTACCAAAAAATCTGTGCCTTTCACTGACATGAGAGTCTGTCTTCTGCTACTTCATCATGATTGCTTTCAGGGTTAAGCCAGCTTCCTAAAGTAGGTACTCTCAAAGAGTCAATCCTTCTGGGTACATGCCTTCTATCATTCCCTTCATGATGTGAGGCTCTGCTGTTTGGTCAGAGTGTGAAACTGGCCTAGCAGAAATTAATAGAATTTTTTTTTAATAACCAAGAGGTCTAGAGATAAAAGTGGGAGGGGACTAAAGGGAGAATGTTTTAAGGAAGCTGGGTTAGTCTCAACCGGAATGGCATTTCTAAAGATCCCTCCCCACCTTGAATTCTGTGAACTATGTTGACATTGCCTCTTGACACAGGCTGGCTGAGTGACCTGGCTCTTAGGCAGTTACAGGGGTTTTGCTGATCACTGCCTGCAGCGAGAGTTCCCATGCCAGGTATTGCCTTCACTAATGAAGTCTTGGGTCCAGACCAAAAAAAGACAAAAAAAATTGTTCTCTAATAAGAATTTTCCAAATATAGAGTAAACCCAAGCTCTTTTCCCAATATTTTTTCCATGTATTATGAAGGTGAACATAATGGAGGAAGAATCCACATAGCCTGTCCAAAATTGGAATAGTTGTTAGTGTGTGGTCATTGGAAGTGTCCAAGCAAAGCCTTGATGAAGGGAAAGGAGCATGCATTTATTAAGCACCTACCACATGCACTTTACAAATATTATCTCATTTGATCCTCCCCACAACCCTGGGAGGGAGATGCTGAATTATGATCCCCAAACTGAGGTAGACAAAGGTTAAATGAGTTGCCCAGAGACACACAGCTGGGAAGTATCTGCAGCTCGATGTAAACTCAGAAATTCTTGCCTCTAAGCCCAGAACTCTACCCACCACACCACCAGCTACCTCAGCCTTCATGGCCACCTCTCCAAGTGTTTGTAGAAAGTATTTCTCCTTCCAGCGTGGAAGCTTAGACTAAATGACCTCTTAAGTCCCAACTGTGTGATTCACTTATAAAGGGGGCCTTGGAGGAAAATCTTATAGCCACATGCCTATAGAATGAGGCTTTTTGCTCACAGGGGAACAGCAAATACTGTCTTCATTGAAGAGACTTTTCCCTTTCTTCCTTATTATCTTTCTTCTAAACTCATCAAGCTCTCTCTGTAGTTCCCTCTTACTGTGTGGTGGTGGTTTTTAAATCTCCATGTTCATTATTCCCTGTAAAATAATGATCACGATCAGACCTTTAAGAGATTCTCATCAGCAAAAGCTCTATGCCAAATAATAGCTTAAATCTCACAAGAGCCAATCTGCATGACAGCAGAACTGAGGGTATTTTTACCTGATACCCCCAGAAGCTTCTTAGCTAGTAGCAAAACAGTTCAACAGCCTTGCAGTCAGCACTATTCCTGGGTGTGAGGGGGGAGTTAGATTCCATTACTTTTTCCTTCTAACTTGGGTCATATGTGACTCACAGACTGTCCTACTTGGAAAGGAACTCAGAGGCCAGATAGTCAAGCCCATACTTGAACAAGAATATACCCTTCTGTATATTCACATTTATTCCTTCCTCACTTCTTAAACTGTGGTCGAGACCCACATGGGTTGTGACCACAGTTTAAGAAGTGCAGGAAGGGGTCGAGAGTAGAAAAAGTTTAAGAAGCCCTGCTTTAGACAACTCTTCTTTTCCCTCCTCATTGGAATTATTTCCCTCTTGTATCTCCATTCAGAATGTCATTCTTTAGAAATTCCCATTTCTCCCAGACCTAAGCTTATATCCACTGTAGAATTTTAAGTCATGGATTCCTTTTTTTTTTTCCTTTTCTCTTTGGTGAAGCAATCAGGATTAAGTGACTTGTCCAGGATCACACACCTACTGTCAAGTGTCTGAGGCCAGAATTGAACTCAGATCCTCCTGACTCCAAGGGTAGAGCTCTAGGCACTGTGCCACCTAGCTGCCCTAGTCATGGATTCCTACCATGTTTTCTCTGAACCCATGGAAATCTGTTCTCCCAGAATCTAGGGAGTATGACAGATTATATCCTATCACATATTCCAAAATGTAATGTGCACTTCCTCCCAAGTTTCCAGTCCTTTCCACTCCAGCAGTTTTTCCTCATTAGTGAGAATCCTATCCAAAATAGAAGTTTCCCTCCTTCGTTCCTCTGCTCTTTGAAGATGAAATTGACATTGATTCAAGAAGTTATTAAGCTGTCCTGCTGTGGTCAAAGAGAATTTCCAGCAGAAATCTAGACCAGTACTTAATATGTCATCCCTCCATGCTAGGTTTATCATCATTTTCCTGATTTCCTCATGTATTTCTTCCATCTTCCAGCAGTCTGAAATATACTATGATGTCTGTTGTTTCTCTCTGCCTCTTGTCCTTCACCCAGATGACCTCCACCAGGCTCTGCCCTCCCCCTTATTCCTGATTTCCCTTCATGAATATTTCCTTTCAACATATGCCATCCCCATTCCCTTTTACCTATTGTGATTTCTTTTGAATAAGGTATCCTCTTTCAAAACTAATTCAAGTCATGGATCTCATCCTACCAAGCTTCGGTAATAGCTATGAAGTCTCCATACGTCCCGGTCTCTAAATCACCTAACTCGCTACTCATGCTTTGTGCATTTAAACATGTGTAAATAACCGGAACCACGATTTTTACTGGTGGCTTCTTTCTTCAGTTTGGTCTCTGGTGATTTCTGAGGATCTGCTTTCTTCTTCGTACAGTAGCTCCTTGTAGATGGTGCCATCTTGGTGGGTTTTCATAAGCATTTTAACTCCCTCCTTTTTCCTTTTCAGTTTGAAGCCCTTTTGTAATTAAATGTGCAAGGCCCTACACAAATATATTCTTACCAGCCTTTAAGTATATTCCACTCCTGAGTAAGAGCATGTTATTTCAGTATTTTAAACTGTGGTCCAGAATTCCCAGTCACATTTTTAGAAACTGTTTTATTGATCTGTTCACTTTCCAGTCCAAGCAGAACGAGAATGGGAATCCCCTCTATAATTGCCCCAATTATTGCCCTATCCTGTCTCCACTGGAGGGGTAAACTCAATCTTATGTGTAATTGCATTCCATAATTGCTAGGAAGTTCATAGATTTAGAGCTGAGAGGTTAAGTGAGAGATTATCCAGTCTGCTCCTTCATTTGTGGGGGGAAGCAAGCTCATAGAGGTTAAGTGACTTGCCCAAGGTCACACAAGCAGCAGGTTGCAGAGCCAGGATCTGAACCCTGGTCCTCTAACTCCAAATCCAGTGGTCTTTACCCTGCACCATCCTGCCTGGTTGAGTCAGAAATGTGATGTGGCATCAAAAAAAAAAACTGGTGTTATTTTATGCAGCATTAAGAGAGACGTAATACACAGAACAAAGGAGAGGGGGATCCTCAGTGCTCAGCTCAGTCCCTGCCCCATACGTAGTATCAGATGACTTAACAGCCAACTTTAAAGAGCCATAGAAATACTACCTATCAAGTAATAGTAGTAGGTGAGTAATAAGTGCTCATTAACATGCTGTTAACTTGACAATAGTGCCCTGGGCAAGCCACAAACTAGATTTAGTTCTTGGGTCCACATTTTAAGAAAAGCCATATAGAGGAGCAGCTGGGTGGCACAGTGGATAGAGCACCGGCCCTGAAGTCAGGAGGACCTGAGTTCAAATCCGGCCTCAGACCAAACACTTGACACTTACTAGCTGTGTGACCCTGGGCAAGTCACTTAACCCCAATTGCCTAAAAAGAAAAGAAAAGCCACATAGAAAAGCTAGAACATATCCAGAAGAAGGTAACTAGGATGGTGAGAAAACTACAGAGTGCCCAATTGGAGAATCAGTTGAAGGGACCTATAGGATGTTTAGCCAATAGAGGAGGAGACTCTGGGGGCCAGGACGCTGCATTCAAGTGTTGGAAGCTCTGGCAGGTAGAAGGGAGACTGGGCTCTTTCTGCTTGGCTGTAGTGGGTAGAAGTGAGTAGAAACAGTGGGTGGAAGTTTTAAGCTTGGTATAAGGACAAACTTCCTGACAATTGGAGCATCCCAAAAGTGGAATGGATTTCCTTGGGAAATAATGTGTAACTTCTCGCTAGAGGCCTTCAGACAGAGCCTGGCTGGCCACTCATTGTTGGTAATGTTCTTTGCTGCCCGACTTCCCAGTACCATTCCCAAAGCCATGGAATAACTTAAACTTGAGTTTATCAAAGTCCTTTATTGACACATAGCACTAGTTAAAATGTGTAGAAGATGAGTTTATTGTGTGTGTAGTCTTGAGTCCTTCCACTAACATCTGAGTGCCAGACATCATGTTCATGAAGTCATTTTTTTTTTTTGCTTTTGAGTTTAAAATTTTTCTCCCCTTTCCTCCCCACTACCCCACCAAAACGGCAAATAATCTGATGTAGGCTATACATATGCATTCCTATTAAACATGTTTTCACATTAGTGATGTCGTAAGTAAGAATTAAAACCAATAGGAGGAACCACCAGAAAGAGGAAACAAAACACAACAGAAGAAAAAAAATAGCAAATAGTATGCTTCGATATGCATTCAAACTCCAAAGTTCTTTCTTTGGATGTGGATAGCATTATGAAGTCACTTTCTACTCTCCTCTCCATTCTCTAAAGTCACTCAATGGTCCCTCCTGGATTTTACATTTTAATTCTTTATCCATATTCCCTAGTAATTAACATGCATCAGCATTGCCGCCATTGCCCAGCCTCTGCCCCTCTCTCTCTCTTCCAAAATTAGCTTCATGGGGATGCCAGACGCATGCTTGCCCCCCACCCCATGTATTGGGGATCTGCTCCTCTTCCAGCTTTATCCATAACCACAAGTTTCCCTGATTATCTCTTGTCCAATTCTGACAACATCAGTCCTTAGGTTGTGACCCAAGCAGGAGTTAGGGAAGGGGCAAAAGAGCAGACCTCAAAGCTTCTCTTAAGCCCGTACCTGCCTTAATTGACTTTGTCCTGGGACCTGAGCCAGCTCCTGGTCAGGCTGGATCATTCCAGCCCTTAGCCAGTTTAATCCTTTGGCCACCACGACATTGTAGGAGGAATTCTTGTTCAGATTGGTTGGAACAGAGGATCTCTGAGCTCCCTTCCAACTCTTTGAATCAGCGAGATCTGCCTCTCAAACTTATGTCTACTGCTCCGTGTTCTGTCCTTGGGAGCCCAGCAGAACCACCCCAACAGCTCCTCCACGGAGCATTCCTTCAGTACTATTGCATGCCTTTCCCTAAATCTTCTCTAGACCAAATATCTGGTTCTTTCAGTTACTCATTATAGGGCATGGCTTCCAGGCCACTCACCATCCTTTTTGCCCTTGCCTTGTGAGTGGGAGAGGAAGTTACCCACGTGGGGTTTGGATGTCTGTGCTAGCTGACCTCACTTTTTCATTTACCACTCTGTTCTGTTCTTTTCCTTATCATACAGGTATCTTCCGAGCTGCGGTGCCCAGTGGCGCTTCTACTGGCATCTATGAAGCCTTAGAACTCCGAGACAATGATAAGAGCTACCTCCTGGGGAAAGGTAAAAGATTGGCAGCATCCTTTCTCCTTGTAGGAGGCATCCTAAACTGTGAAATCAGGTGCTGTTCCTCCAACTTCAGTAGTTTTCCACCTGTTATATATTTGTGGTTGTATATGAGAAGGAGTCTCTAACCCCAGGCATTTACTGTTGATGGCAAATATATATATATATATATATATATATGTCATTAGACTTTGTAAGAAAGTTGCATTTCTTAGCTTTTCCTGCTTCTTTTTGCTTATGATTTTGGAATCTTCAGATGTTTTGCAGCACATTCCTATTGAAGTATATGGCACTTAAGGAGCAGGAAGCAACAGGGAGTGCAGAATGTGGGGTTCTAATCCCAGGTTTGGCACAGCTTGAGCCTGAGCTAGGTCCCTTCAGTTTCCACAAATGATACTTTAAGAAAAGTGCCCCATAGGTTGTAGAGTGCTATGTAAACTGGGTTGTAAACATTCGTGAAATACTGGGTTAGACAGATAAAGTCAGACTGAGGACCTGTGGCCTATTAATTTGACTCAGTAGCTGCCCTCAAAGGCAGTGGGGCATAGTAGAAAGAAGGCTGGGCTTGGAATCAGGAGAGTCCAGCACTTGCAGCTCTGGATTTACTGGCAAGACACTTCAACTGTGGGGCCTGCGTAAGTGAGGGAGAATGATGCTCAGAGTAGCCACCTCACAGTGGGTGAGGGACAGGAACCTTCACTAGAGATCTTCAAACAAACACCCAGTTGGATTCCACGTAGTGGGTATGGTATGGAGTGGATTCCTATTCAAGTATGAATTGGACCAGAGGATCCACAGAAATCCCCTCAAGTTCAGAACCAGTGACTCATAACTTGGTAGGCTTTAGACAGCACTGATTGCCTCAGCGTACTTTATATGAAGTCTCTTACTAGTTGACATGATACTATGATATTAATAAATTCCCATTTCTGCCACTCCCAGACAGTAGCTTGGCTTTTGGTCATCTAGGCCTAATTCTCTGATATTCATAGCCCTTCCTTTTGGCCATTGGTAGAGGTCATTTATCACCATCCTGCAGCCAGTCATCCCTTTATTTTATTTTATTTTATTTTATTTGCTTTTTAGGCAATTGGGGTTGAGTGACTTGCCCAGGGTCACACAGCTAGTAAGTGTCAAGTGTTTGGTCTGAGGCCGGATTTGAACTCAGGTCCTCCTGACTTCAGGGCCGGTGCTCTATCCAGTGCGCCACCTAGCTGCCCGCAGTCATCCCTTTTATACCTGGATATAAAGGATTGGCTCAGAGCTATGTAGTTTAATTCCACAGATGTTTCCAGAGGAATCCCAAGACTGCCCCACTTTCCCATGTCAGAGGCCCCACTTGGAATCTTAGCACCTTCACATCCTCCCTAGTAATCACTACAGTTTTTGAATGGATCAGATCAGACTAGGAAACAGACAGAGTGTTCGCATTCACTGTGCTTTTTCCTGGCCTGTGCTGTGTGCTGGTCACATCCAAGAATTATCAGGAACTGAAGACATTTCAGGGATTTGATGATGATTCTCATAGTTGTCCTGGACAGCTATCTGCCTGTGCTACTACCTCTGTCTGGGAGCATTCAACTTGGTGCCCAGTGTCAGAAGTCAGGGGTTTCTTGCCTCCCCAACCCTAAAAGGTGCTCCGTAAAAAGTCTTTAGTAGTCACTTATTGGAAGGCCCTGAACTCAGCCTTAAGGTTCCTATCATGGGTCTCACCATCATTGAGTCCCCAGGTGGTAAATGGCCCTGGTTTCTGGTAGTCCCCATTTTCCTTGTACAAAACTGCCCTCAGGCTCTCCAGGCTGGCATCTGTGCCTACTTGGCAGAAGCTTACCTGAATTAACAAAGGCAACCCAGGTGTGTGTGTGTGTTTGTGAGGCAATTGATTAGATTCCCGAAGATCTGGTCACATTTTTCATTTCAGCAATCTCCTTTGTGCAGAACACTTCCTGAACTTCTCTTCGGGTCTTCTTCCTATTAGTTCTTCTGGCAAGACCTACATGGGCTATGGCTATGTGTTATTGGCATTGTTTTTCACAGATCTTCAAAATTACTACCACTGCTAAAAATAGAGTCAGTTAATAAGAATTATAACCAACATTTACATAGCACTTCAAGCCTTACAGGGTACTTTACAAATACCTCGTTTTATCCTCACAGCAGCTTTGAGTGGTAACTGTTGCTATCATCCTCATTTTATAGTTGAAACTAGGGCAGAACAATGAAGTAACCTGCCCAGGGCCACAGAGCTAGTGAGCATCCAAGGCCGGATTTGAATTCAGATCTTCCTGCCTGCAGGCCCAGTGTTCTAATCACTGCACCGCCTTGGGATGTGGTCAGGCAGTAAGTGCTTCTGTCTTCCCAGGGTCAGTAACACTCCCTACTGAGACAGTGTCACTCATATATTCAAAAGATGCTCTGAGAAACAACAAACACTTTTATTGAGCATGTGCTATGTAGAGGACACTCTGGTAGGCCCCTGAAATACAAAAGCACAAATGGCTCCTATTCTCAGGAAGCTTATCTTTAGATCATAAGTCTCCAACCGCTCTAGCTTAGACGTCTTCAGGATTACATGATGTTGGGGATAGAGCACTGAACTTGGAGTCATGAAGGCCTGAATCAAAGTCCTGCCTCAGCTACCTACTGTGTGACCCTGGGAAAATCACATCAGCTCTCTGAGCCTCATCTGTAAAATGAGAGCGTTGAACACGAAAATCCCTTTTGGTTTTAAATCTATTATGGCATCATTTAAACACCTTCCCAAACACGATGATGTCACCAAGGGAGACCAAGAGTTCATATTGTACTCCACTTGTTCTACAAGCAGATGACGTGGAGATCCCTCGCATGTGCTCAAACACGACAGGCGAAGGCAGCTGTCTTATTGTCATTTACCATTGGACTCTAAAATAATAAAATAGCTAGCATTTATATAATGCTTTAAGCAAGGTACTTGGCCTAGAGGATCTCCTTTGAACTTCTTCACAAATATAGGAAGTGAGTTCTATTATTATCCCCATTTTACAAAGGAGGAAACCAAGGCTTGTCCAGGGTCACCCAAGAGAGTTTCTGAGTCTTCCTGACTCCATGTCTAGCCCTCTATTCCCTGCACCACTGAGCTGCCTGTGATAATGTTTCCTGCTCAGGCCTAACATTGAGAGCCACGGACTGCCAGACTTTTTGGCCTCAGAGTATGGCACACTAATCCACGTATTTATTTCACGTATTAACCATCTGGCAGCTGGCTTAGTCTTCCTCCCCAGCAGAACCACAAGCAGCGCCTAAGGTTCACAAGACTGAATAGCAGTGCCATTGACAGCTCTTTCCGGCCCTTCCATAGTAAGCCTGCTGCCTCAGAGAGGGTCATTTGTCAACACTATTCTCAGATTGCTCAGCAGTAAACAAGGTAGTGTGTGCATTTAATTCAACAAATGTATTCAAGGTGACGGCAATACTGAGACAAAGACAAAACAGTCCCTGCCCTCAAAGAGCTTACGTTCTGTTGGAAGGTACACCCTGTTCAGAGATAAGTAAATAGGAAGTGTACATAGTGATTTCAAGAGGGAAGAGAGCATGGACCAGGAGCAGCTTCCTATGTAGGATATGATCCCTGAGCTGTGCTTGGAAGAGACAGAAGTGAGATGGGAGTGCATTTCAGATGTGGAGGACACGAGCCCAGAGGAGGTTAGAGTTGAGCACTATATAGGGAACACTTATAGGCCAGTCTGATTGGAAAAGTGCACTGAAAACACAAGAGACCTAGAGGAGATTTTCTTCCTTAGGCGACCTTTGTGTCCCTAGAGACCTAGGGAGTTTTCCTGTGCAAACCTCTAGAACCCCTTAATGATGCCGAGGGCTGTAGGAGTGGCCTTGAAGTTTGGCATGGCAGAAAACTTCTATGTATTCTGCCAGCACTCTTTTCATTTTCTTTCTTTGTTTGTTTGTTTTTGTTTTTAGGCAATTGGGGTTAAGTGACTTGCCCAGGGTCACACAGCTAGTAAGTGTCAAGTGTCTGGTCTGAGGCTGGATTTGAACTCAGGTCCTCCTGACTTCAGGGCCGGTGCTCTATCCACTGCGCCACCCAGCTGCCCCCTCCTTTCTTTTTCTTAGAGATTTTTGGCTCCTGGGGTTCTGCTCGCTGGCCACTGTACCTGATGAGAGCTTGGAGGAGATTGGAATGTGTTCCAGTGAAAGCAGAAACCCCATGCATAGTACAGTCACGTTGGCCATTTTCTTAGAAAGACCAGATGTGTTACAACATACTCCTGTGTGAGAAGTACCCTTCACTGAAGCTGTGGAGACCTAGTCCTCTCAAAAGAAATACACCTAGACGTGCAGGCTTCCAGTTTGACTTGCAGCGTCTCCAGACAGTCACCTGGCAGGTTCTCTCAAACACAGCCAAGTCTTCTTTTCTCTTAGTCTTGATCAGCATTTTAGCTCATGGTCCTGTGAGTCCTGGAGAAATGGGGGCAGAGGCCTTGACGGGAGTTCTTTTACCCAGCATCTTGTAGCTGATGCTGAGGTCGGGCAGGAAGATGTAGGTACAGATCTCATTTGTGACATTTGTTAGCTGTTTCTTCATCTGTAAAATGATGTAATAATGTTAACAGCAACTACTTGTCGGTCAGTAGACATTAATTGAGGGCCTACTTAGTAGGTTCCCAAAGTGGGCAATACTGCCCCCTGGGGGGCACTGGAATGATCCAAGGAAGGGCTGGTAGCCTCAGGTGCAACTGAGGGACGGGAAAAAAAATAAGGGGGCAGTGGAAGCATATGGAAAGAAGAGAAGAGAAGAAAATTTTGAAAAACTGTTCATATGTGTTTTATCTGTTGTGTAATGGAGTTAAAGTCATAGTGATTACATTATTTTCCAAATAAACACATAAAATGCAAGTTATAACCTATCAGTGGTCAAGTCTGACAACAGGTCTTAACAAGCAAGTGTTAGTAGGTGATCCTGTCACGCATTTTCAGGAAGTGTAGCATGCATTGGCCAGAATGTGTGTGTGTGTGTGATGAGTTGTTTATAGTACTATACTGTATGGTTACATGATGCAATATTGTATCATCAAAATTTTAATGCAGGAAAAAAACCAACAAATTTACAACAAATTATTAAATTTAAGATGCATCATTTTTTTAAAAAAAGATTTTACATTTTTTTGAAATGATTCAAATATTTTTTAAAAACATGTTAAAGGGTTAAAGAAAGTAGATTTCCAGGGGGCACTGAGTAAATTTTTTCTAAAAGGGGGCGGTAGGCCAAATAAGTTTGGAATCCCCTGGCCTACTACTACACTGTGCCAAGCACTAGGGATACAAGGATAGGCAAAAGACAGCCCCTGCCCTCAAGGAGATCACAATCTAATGGGAAAGACAACATGCAAAGAACTGTGTACAAACAGCATGCATACAGAATAAATGGGAAATCATTAAAAGAGGGAAGGCAATAGAATTAACAGGGATTGGGAAAGGGTTTCTGTAGAGGGTGAGATTTTAGTTGAGACTTGAAGGGAGCCAGTAGATAGAGATGAGGAAGGTGAGCGTTCCAGGCCTGAGGGACAGCCAGAGAGAATCCCCAGAGCCAGGAGGTGGAGGCCTTATTCATGGAACAGTCAGGAGGCCAGTGTCACCGGATCTAAGGGTATGTGTGGGGGAGTCATATGTAAGACTAGAAAGGTGGGAGGCACTAGGTTATGCAGGGCTTCGAAAGCCAGGCACAGAATTTTCTATTTGATCCTGGCAGTGACACTGGAGTTTGAGGAAGCAGGTGACATGTTGTAAAACTCTAATGAAATGATGTTTGTCCAGCACTTAGCAAACCTTCACATATAAACACCAGCTTTGAGGATGGTTCCCACAGGTGTCCACGAAATCAGCTTCTGTGATGCTGAATTGATTGTCTTTTTGGATGCTCAGAAGTCATGTCCAGAGAGCACAAAATCAGATCAGCAAAATAGCAGATGAACAGTGTAGAATCACACCGAAACCAGAAAAATAAAGAATTGTGAAAATTAACTCTGCACGGTGGCGTGTCACCAAAATCAGAACATAAAAGAACTACAGAAATACCTTAAAAATATAAAAGAGCCAAACTACAGGAAGACCAGCTAAAGCTCTTAAATAATCCAATGTCAACAACAGAAATAGAGCTAGCTGAGGAAGAAGTCAAGTGTCCATTCTGCCCACAGTGGTAGCAGATGAGCAGGGATAGTTTAGTTGATGCCCTCAGTCCCTCAGCCCAAGCCCCCCCAATCCCAGCAGAAGGAGGAAATTGAACAGCGTTCTGGAATGCAGGTTTCACAGCTGGGACTGGCTTAGACAGATTATCCTTCACACTAGTCCCTAGTACCTGAGATGCTGGCACAAGGTCCTTTTGGGCTAATTTGCCTTTCTTCTGACAGCCCTCTCTCCTGGCTTGTCTTCTCTGGCAAATTTTATTGTGAATAACTGGGAAGTCCTGCTTTTCAGACAGCTATAATTGTCATTAAATAGATTTATACCAACATTCTTTTGAGCGCTTGAGCAAGCCTAATGTGGTTTGTGTGGCCTAAGATTACTGTACCTTTAATCATCATTTTCTGCAGTAAATTTGTACATAGCTGTACATTCTCTCTGGTATGCAACATCAGAGCCTCAGTACTCTCTATAAAAGTGATCCAGAGTCTGCCATCATCCCATGCTTCAGGGCATCTCAGGGGCTCAGAGGAGGGCTAAGGGTTTCATGTGGTGGTGCAAGATCTCACCTGGTTTATAGGGAAGCTAGGAGTTGCCAGCATAGAAGATGGAAGAAAAAGGGAGAAAGTGCCAGGCAGAAGGGAGCATGGCTAGAACATAGAGACCATCCCCCCAAACCAGAGATGCATTCTTACTACCACAGACTCCTCAGTAGATCAGCCTAACGATCCACATTGGAAAAATTCAATGGATGGAAAATGCCTGCTCAGACTATGACTTGCAATGGGAAGGACAAGTTCAATGGCAGAACTCTTCTAGTGATAATGGGTGGCTATACATCGTGGAGCACCATGGTTTCCAAAGAATTGAAATTGCATTTGACCCCAAGTCCAGGGGAAAGGCCAGTGAAGCCCTGCACATAAGTGGCATGACAGATGCCATCCAGAAAAAGGCCAGTTGTGTGACAAAAACGAACCAAAGGGTAGCATCCTGGCTCTGTTAGCCTCTGCTAAGAAGGCAGCTGCCCAAATTAAAAAGCGAACTGTTGTTCAAGAAAGAGTAGGGGTACATGGAGGTTGCCCTAGCCTTTGCCTGAAGACTTTTAATAAGGCATAGCCTGCTCTCTCCTGAAGCTGCCCAGTCTACTTCTGTATAGCTTGAATAGTTACCTCCCCAAAATTTGCCTCTCTGTTCTGCCCTCTGGGCCCAGGTAGAACTAAACTCACTTCTCCTGTACACGACCACACTTTGGATACTTGAGGACAGCTAGTATGCCTCCTTTTCCAAGAGCATGGCCATCTGTTGGTTTTAACCCCCTAGATTCATGAGGCAAAATCACCCAGACGAGGCAAGAAAGCCCAAAAGATCCGGTGAGGAAAGAGGTGGGAATTTCAAGGCATCATGAAATAGCTTGCATACTTTGTGTTCCACTCTAACTTTGGAACAACTACACGTTGATGTCAGTGGTTTCATTTTCTCCTTCTTTTCAGGTGTCTCAAAAGCTATTGACCATATCAACCACACTATTGCCCCAGCACTGATTAACAAGGTAAGAGCCTTTCTTATTTTAATTAATACGTAATAATGTAACCAATCAGAGTAATTCCAAATTCCTGTCGTTTTTCCTCCTTCTTAAAAAAAAAAAGCTGGAAAAATCAGCAGATTTTGAATACCTGGGAATGATTTAGCCCACTCTGACCTATTAGGTCTTTTTAATAGGTTCAAATGGGAGAATCTCTGAAAAAAGCTGATACTAATGTCTGAGTGACCTGTGTATCCATCTTCCTTCCCAAGACTCTGAGCATCAGTTGAAATTATAAGGAGAGGGGGAGCTATGAAAGTCTCTTTCTCTCTCTCTCTCTCATCTGAGCCACCTCTCTCTCTCTCTCTCTCTCTCTCTCCCCCTCTCCCTCTTTCACAGTGAAGCAGGGGAGGGACCTAGAAACACTATTCCCTTATCATGTTCACCTGACATTTTTATCAATGAATTGGATGGATAATGGTGTAGATGGCATCTTAATCAAACTCATAGATGCCCCAAATGCAGTAAAGTTAGCTCACTCAGTGAATGGTAGTCAATATAAAAAAATATCTGAACAGGCTAGAGCAGAGATGTCAAACCTGAAGCCTGCATGCAGCCTGCAACACTCAGCCTGAACCAGATTAAGATATAATTATGAAATATTGAACAAAATAAAATATGATAAAATATACATAACATTACATTTTAAAATCAAGTTGCTATGCAACCCATAGAGATCCTTATGTATGGATCAGTGGCTCCTGTTTCTGTTTTGTGTTTGACACCACTGGGCTAGACCATTGGACTTATGAAATGTAATCTGATTTATATTTAATAGGGATAGATGTAAAGTCTTATACTTGGGTTCAAATTCTCAAGGTGAAGGAGGAATAGTAAGACAATAGTTTCCCTCAAAAACACTCTGCGGGTCTTTGTTTCCCTACAAGCTCACTTGGAGTCATCAGGAGAAGGTAACAGGTAGCCAAGCAAATGGGCTGTCCTGCCACGCCTGGAACACACACACACACACACACACACACACACACACACACACACACACACACACACAGCCTTTGGCTGTTAGTGTTTCCCACAGTGAAACGACATTGAAATTATTTTACCAATATTTTATGTAAACTTATATGTCTGAACATTTCCTCTCCCAGTTGAATACAAACTACTTCAGGGTTCTTCTCCTTGGGTTTCTTTTCTGTCTGTATCATCATACCCAGCTTATAGATGCCTGACACAGCAGCCACTTCAGAAATGCTTGTTTGGATAGAGCTGCGGCCTTGGAGTCAGGAGGACCTGAGTTCAAATCCAGCGTCAGACATTTGACACTTACTAGCTGTGTGACAAGTCACTTAACCCCAATTGCCTCACCAAAAAAAAAAAAAAGCTTGGTTTTGGTTGGAGGCCGAGCTTCCAAGAAGAGCACTGTATGTTTAGAGCTGGAAGGTACCTTAGAGGTCATTTAGTCCAGCCCTATCATTTGAAAGATGAGACCCAGGAAAGTTAAATGACTTGGCTGTGGTCACACCCAGCAAGTGAAAAAGGCAGAATTTGAACCCAGGTCCCCTGATTGCACCCCCAGGCTCTTTTCTTCTGTGCACACCCCATCGAGAGCACTGCATTCACGTCTGGGCACCGTGGGTTAGGGAAGCGGTGGCTGGAGATTGAGTTCAAGGCCATGAAGAGCCCAGAGTTAACGCCGTATGAGAATAATTTGAGTGAACCTTCAGATGTTTAGCCTGGAGAAGGGAAAACTCCAAGGGGCATGGTGAGCCACCTCCAAGTACTTGGAAAGCCATCTCATTCAGTGTGTTCTGTGTGGCCCCAGAGGGCAGAATTCACCTCGGCTCAGCTAGCCTTTATTAAGGCACCATTCTAGGCTTGCTGCTGGGGAGGCAAAGATAGAAATGATGCACTTCTGCCCTCAACGAGCTTACTTTCTCCTGGCTGGGGTAGAAGAAGTGAAGAGGCCATTTGAGGCTTGGTGCCAGAAAGCTTTGTCAAAAAGCAGAACGGGGCAGCTTCCAGAGGGCCCTCCTGGAGCCTTCAGACGCTGGAGCACTGGGCACTGGCCTCTGCAGCACATTGGGATTCTGGGACTTTCTCTGAACTGCAGATTTCCTATTTTAGGGCTTAAAAAAAGGGGGGGGCAGAGAATTTCCATCTGAGCTAGGGACAGGCTTTTTTTTCAGGTTTAGTAATGGTATTTATTGGCTAAAGGTACTCTACTTCTCCCTCTCCATACCCCTCCATTGAAAAAAAATGAGGCAGAAAAAAAATACATCACAAATATGCATTATCACATAAAATGATCATGTACATAATTAAGCAATGTGCCATGTCCAAAAATGGCACCTATAGGGACAGACATTTTCCCATTTGCCCTATTTCAGCAGGTAATGTTAATGACCCACCTTTGGCTTTAGCAAGTCTTTGCTATTTAGTCTTCCCAGTTCTTACCTGACTCATCACCTGAAATTTCATCATCTTAGATATTGATTCAGCTTTGATACTCATGGATAGATGAATAGATGGATGGATGGATGGATGGATGGATGGATGGATGGATGGATGGATGGATAGTTGGATGTTCAGTCATTTCAATCATATCTGACTCTTTGTGACCCCATTTGGGGTTTTCTTGACAAAGATACTGGTGTGGGTTGCCATTTCCTTCTCTGTCTCATTTTACAGATGAGGAAACTGAGGCAAACAGGGTTAAGTGACCTGCCTAGGGTCACACAGCTAGTAAGTATCTGAGGCCAGATTTGAACTCAGGAAGATGAGTCTTCCTGACTCCAGGCCTGGAGCTCTGTCCATTGCACCACCTCCTAGCTGTCCAAAGCAAGCCTTGCAACCTTAATATTTACCTTGGGAGGTTGTTTACTTCACTCTTGTTAGCTCAAACCTTGTATTATTTGCAACTCCCAAAAAGACCTCTTATTCCCTGCATCACTGTGAATCCAAACCCTTATGTCCAGATCCCAGTAGGTCAGGGATTATTTTATTTAGGTGTCCCCAGTGCTTTCCACAGACCAGTGAGTGAATGTTTTGCTGAATTAAATTGAATTATTTCCCCCTGTAAAAGCCCATGGCCACGTCCTGGGGAATAGGCAGTCAGGGCTTGGCTGGGGCAAAGAAAGGGCTTAGAAAATCCTAATTTTGCCAGTAGTAATAATAATAATTAAAGGTAAAAGGATATTTGAAAAAAAGTTTTAAATGGCATGATATTTTGAATATGTTGTGGTCCCAGTGTGGTATAATGATGAGAATAACTCTTTCTTTACCAGTTGATAGAAACTCGTTTTCAGTGGCGCTCAGCAGGGCTGGCGGAGCAGGTGGCCCTCCGCTACTATACTGGGAACCACCAGTGGTGAGAGGAAGGAGGATGAAGAGTGCTCTTTAAGCCATAAAGAGATTGAAGGCAGAGAGCATGCTGTGCATCACCGCTCTTGACTCTCAACATGGTGCAGTGCACATGGCTGTTCAGTGTTGACCATGCCTTTGTTCCTGACAGGTGTAGTCTGGTATAATCGACAGTGATGAACTTGGAATTAGGAAGACTTGGGTTCAAACCCAGCCTCTGACGCTTGTGTGCATTTGGAGCTTGGACACGTCAGCTAAGCTCTGTGCCTCAAGCAACTCTCTAAGATTTAACTACTACATCATGGAGGGCTTGGGATCTGCACTGGGGTCAGAAGGAGTGTCCGGTACTGCCCAAATCCCCCTCAGATATTCACAGAGATCACCCGGACAATGTCTGGTTATTCATCAGATGCTGTCTTAGTAGAGGAAGGAAAATGGTGACAAGAAGTAGTCGGATGTGTCTTTATCACCCTGAGCCATGAAGGTGAAATCGGAGGCAGGCGTACACAAGTGTCTCACGTGCGACTGATTTTCATTGAATATTTTAATGAACTAATTAATTGATTTACTGACTACTCCCTCTTAGATTTTGTGTTCCTTAAGACCAATCAGATGTGTGTCAACTGATCACTGATTAACAATTCAGGAGTGACCCCTGCCAAAAGCTGGGTCACTGCCTGCAGGCTGCCATCCTGGGGAGCTTGTCTTCCCTACAGCACACCTCTCTTCTACCTTACAGAAACTTAATGTCGTGGAGCAGGAGAAAATTGACTACCTAATGCTGAACATGGATGGCACTGAGAATAAAAGTGAGTCACTAACACGGAAATGAGAGGTCAAGTCAGCGAGCATTTGGGCTGAGCTCAGTCCTTGCCCTCCAGGAGCACACAGTCTACTGGTGACCATAGCTGTGTACGAACAAGATAGAGAAGGTGGCCATGGGAACTGGTCTGACTGAAGGCCCTACCTAGCGAGGAAGGGGATTAGGACTGGCTTCTGGCAGAAGGTGGGGCCTGGGAAGCCGGGAGGGAGGGACCAGAGGAAGAGCATTCCCGGCCTGGGGACCAGAGAGAGGCCTGAGAACCCTACTAGTGGAGTCGGGAAGGGTGCGTGTCTTTGCATAGTCTTCCCTGACAGTAAGGAAAGGCACTTCTTGAGGCTCCTTCTAGTTTTCTTGTATTACCAGGAAAAAGAGTTTGGATTCCTTTGTGCCAGTGGAGTGTCTGTTGTTCCTTTCCAGCTGTAGCCATAAAGAAATCTTGGGGTTTTGGCAGTTTTGGGGACCTGGGCTACCAGGTGCGGTGGATAGAGCACCAGGCCTGGAGTCAGGAAGTTCAAATCCAGCCTCAGATACTTCTAGCTGTGTGATCCTGGGCAAGTCACATCACTCTGTTTGCCTCCGTTTCCTCATCTGTAAAATGAGCTGAAGAACCGCTTCAAACCACTTCAGTATCCTTGCCAAGAAAACCCCAAATGGGGTCACATGGAGTCGGATACAACTGAAATGACTGAAGGAATGAACAAGGGTTGTATTGCCCATGGTGGTTGTCCTGGAGTCCCTAGCTGTATGCACATCCTTTCCTGCCAGATGTATTTAGGTAGCATTTAACTGCTTCGGAATGGACTTTGCTTTCCTTTGTATCCCAGAGATCTGTATCTGAGATATAGTAGGACAAAAGATATTCCTGCTGCTCAACCTTTGGGAGCTCAGCTTTCCCTCTTCTCCCCTCCCCTGGACCTACAGTGTACCCTTCAGGGCTTTCACCCTTGGGTGTGTTTATCTGTTTGCCCCCCTTCTGGGTGAGCTAAGCAACTTAAGGTCACCCGGATCTCTCTCTCTCCCCCTCTTCCTCCATTTCCCTTTCTCCCTCTCCCTCTCCCCTTTCCTTCTTCCCTTCCCCTTCCCCCTCCCTCTTCTTCTGTCTCTTCCTCTATCTGCAGTAGCTAGCCCGGTGCTTTGTACATAGTACTTAATAAGTCTTGTTTGCTGAATTCAATTGGATTTGCCCTGACAAGAATTACAAAACTCTAGAGGGAAAGGTTTGCTATGGGAAATAGCCAATGTGTGTTTCATGGTTTAGAATCCCTGGTTATAGAATTTGCTAAAGCTGAAATTCAAATCCCATTCCCTTGGCTGAGGAAATCAACTGAAAGTGTAGTCCTCCTGTTTAGAACTCTCCCTGCCCAAACAGGAGATGGTTTGTGTTTCTGATTGGCAGACTGTTAAAAAAAATTTTTTTTAATTTAAAAAAAGGCTGCAGCGAAGCCAGTGGGTATGTCAGCTAAATTGATTTTTAAAAATAAAAAGAAGCGCCCCCAGGCACTGATATCCCCAAAAGAATTAGGAATCTTTAAGCTGCAGCCACCCTCCAAGGCCTCTGCACATTTTCTTTCACTGTGCCTTGTGCAAGAAAGGTCTTTATGCCCCTCTCTTATCTCTTAAAGCCTACTTTAAACATCACTTCCTCCTGGAATCCTTTACTGAGCCACCTTTGCCTTCAGACTTCCTTTATTTTGTCTCTCTCTCCAATGTACTTAGCGTGTTACATGGCTATTACCACCATCTGTGTTGCTGTCACACCTTACTAAACTGTAAGTATCTTGAGGACAGAAACTCTATGTAAATCTTTTTATCTTCCTCCAGCCCGACATGCACAGTAGTGCTATGTACAGGGAGTAGGCATTTAATAAATATTCATTGACTTACATTGTGCTTTATAGGGGTCAATAGTTAACAGATTGCATATTTTCATTCTATGCTTGGAATTGTGCTTTTCAAAAAAGAAAGTCCATACCCTTTGACCTAGAGATTCCATTGCTAAGTATATAGCAGGAGGAAAGAAAGGTCTCATATGTACTCAAATATTTATGGCAGCAAAGAATTGGGATAGATAAATGGGCAGGTAGGTGGTGCCATAATGCATAGAGCACCAGGCCTGGAGTCAGGAAGACTCATCTTCCTGAGTTCAAACCTGGCATCAGACACTCACTAGCTGTGTGACGCTGGGCAAGTCACTTCACCCCATTTGCCTCAGTCCCTTCATGTGTAAAATGAGCTGCAAAAGGAAATGGAAAACCACTCCAGGATCTTTGCCAAGAAAACCCCAAATGGGGTCATGAAGTCAGACACGACTGAAATGAACACACCAGATTGCCTGTTGACTGGGGAAAAGATAAATTGTGGTACATAAATGTAATCAAATGTTGTTTCACTATTAAAAAAAACGATAAATAAGATGAATGCCGACAAACATGGAAAGGCTCATTTGAACTTGATGCAGAAGGGAGTAAACAGAACCAGAAATACAGTATGCACAGTTGACTGCTACAAGAGAACAAAAAACCAAGCAGAACACTGCTTAAGGAATTATAATGACCAGGAGCGACCTCGAGGAGGAGAGAAGAAAATTCTTGGCAGAATTGCAGAGGAGGGGCTGGCACATTGCCTGAGTGTCCAACTCAGTGGATGTCCTGGTTTTGTCGTCGTGTCCTGACTCTTCATGCTCCCACTTGGGGTTTTCTTTGCAAAGATACTGGAGTGCTTTGTCGTTTCCTTCTCCAGCTCATTTTACAGATGGAGAAACTAAGGCAAACCAGGTGAAGTGACTTGCCCAGGGTCACACAGTCAGTAAGGTCCAAGGCTGGATTTTAAATGTGGTCTTTCTGACTCCAGGCCAAATTGCTTGTTTCTCTCTTTTTATTCTTTGTTACAAGGAATGAGCTTACTGGGAAGGACAGGGAAGGAAGCAGGGAAGAATATATTTGGGACTGAAGGAGATATAAAAGCCAAAGATAGCAACACAAATTTACTTTGCTTAAATAACGATTTTTTTGTGTAAGAACTACCATATTCTCCCATAAATATTTTTCCGTGTCACTATTAGAGAGCACATGCTAACTAGGCCTTTGATGTTATTGTATGGTTTCTTGTATGTTAAAAAGAGGCAACAGAAAAAAAAAAGGGGAATCAGATGGATGATCTTTAAAGAAATATTTTATTTTAACAGATCTCTTGGCCTATTTCAGGTAAATTTGGTGCAAATGCCATACTTGGAGTGTCTCTGGCTGTTTGCAAGGCTGGAGCTGCTGAGAGAGGTGTCCCCTTATACCGCCACATTGCTGACCTTGCTTGTAAAGAAGAGACCGTTCTACCTGTGCCAGTAGGTTTCTTGTTTGGGGCCTCTAAATTCTCTCTGGGCTACAGGAACCTAAGGCCTCCAGAGGCCTGATGATTTCCACTTCGAAAGGGAATCAGCCCAAGTGGCATCGATAGCAGTGAATACAAGGGAACATCTCTGTGGCTTGAAGGGAGACTTAGACTGGCTGAGAGTTTTCATCTAGCTAGTCTCTGCCTCAGTGGAGCTGGCCCAGAGAAGCAGAGCTCCCAGACAAGCCTCCATCACACACTGTGGTCACTGTCCCTCTTCCTCCTCAGGCCTTCAACGTGATCAATGGTGGCTCCCATGCTGGTAACCAGCTGGCCATGCAGGAATTCATGATCCTCCCGGTAGGAGCTGAGAATTTCAGGGAGGCCATGCGCATTGGCTCTGAGGTCTACCACAACCTGAAGATTGTGATTAAGGAGAAATTTGGGACAGATGCCATCAATGTGGGGGATGAAGGCGGCTTTGCTCCTAACATCCTGGAGAATAAAGAAGGTGAAAACATTGAGTGGAACAAGCCAACCTCAGTTTATTTAGGCCCCTGGGGTCCTGGTGCATTTTTCCAAGAGGGTTTTTGAGTCAGAATCTCACCTTTTTCCTGCTCCAGGGTCAGCCCTCTGTTGGACTCCTTCTTTACTGGATTATTCTCATATGTCAGTTCCAACTGTTGGGAAAGCTGTATTCTTTCTGCCCTTTTAAAAGCACGTGCCTTAGTGAGCCAGGGTGTGGGGGCTGGGGTTGAAGCTGCCACACAGTAGCTAGTCCCTCCCTTTCACCAAGGAAAACAAAAGAATCCTAATATGGTTTCCTTTGTTCTTCCTCAAATAACTAGACACACCTAATCTGATTATTTCTCTAAATGAGGCTGACTGTGTGCTTTTGTTCCTGAAGAGGTCTGAATGATAGTTCAGGAAAGGTGTCATGAGTTATTTGCAACTTTTCCCCAGTCATTGTGGTTAATTAAACCTTAATAATACTTAACTGATTAAGCACAACCTTTGACAATGGGAGACTTTCCTGTAGAAGACACAGATTTCTGTGGCATCTCTCTTTGATGGCCAAGGTTAGAGGCTCTTCTGGTTCAGGCCTCCATCTCCACAGTCCATTTACTTGTTCTGAGATCCTCAGCTGCTGGTTCTATTTAAACTTTGCTTCTATGAAAGGCCTTATCTCAGATGCTTACTGACAGACAGACCTGCCCGGGCTCTAAATCTGGGCCACTCATCAGTGGGAAGACCCCTTCATAATGACCAGACCAAATTTCCCACTGTGTGACCTAGTTCTAAGGGCTGTGTCCCTCTCATTTAGAAATAGCTTGTCATCCTCCAGGCTGGGGAGAGCAAAAGTAGCTGGAGCCCTGAACCAGACAAATTATGGAAAGAACATTTCATCCTCTCCCCTCTTGATTCCTTTGGAATAAAATTTCTAACCATTGCTCCAGCATGGTTTATGGACCAACTATTTCTTTACTCTTGTTGCTATTCCTGCCGCCATGTCTTCCAGCTCTTGAACTGCTGAAAGAAGCAATCGGTAACGCTGGCCACACCGATAAAGTTGTCATTGGCATGGATGTTGCTGCCTCGGAGTTTTACAAGGATGGAAAGTACGACCTGGAGTTCAAGTCTCCTGATGACCCCAGCAGACACATGACTGCTAAGGAGCTGAGCAACCTGTACAAGTCTTTTATCAAGGATTACCCAGGTGAGGCCCTTAGGATCGGGCTTTCATCTCCTGGCTTAGGAGAGTGCAGGGTAGAACTGGAGACTCCAGCTCCCAACGTTCTTCAGTAGTAAATCAGTCAGTGGCCACGGGAGCTGTGGGGAGCCATGAGCCCCTGGCGTGGTCCATGCACATATGGACCATGGAATATGCACAAGCGCTGAGTCCACTCACAGCCTTCCCCCAAAGTTGTAGAATGAGTCTTTGGGGCACTGTCATTAAAACCCTGGGATTCCAGGGATCTCCGAAGCAGTGTGGCTCTTCTAACTCCCCTTCAGTACGCAGAGGCAGCTAGGTGGCACAGTGAGCACAAGGCTGAGCTCGGGCAAGAGGACCTGAGTTCAAATCTGGCCTCAGCTACTGGCTATGTGACCCTGGGCAATCACTTAATTCCGTTTGCCTCAATTTCCTCATGTGTAAAATGGGGGTAATAGTAGCACCTATCTAGCAGGATGGCTTTGAAGATCAAATGAGATAATATTTTTTAAAAGTGCCTGGCACAGAGGAGTCACTAAGCATGTAAACACTTATTCTCTTCTCTTTTCCTTCTTTTCCCTACTGTTATACTTAAAGCAACACAGATTGATTTGAAGGTTTCTTGTCCCAAAATTCCAAGTTGTCTCTTATGCCCTAATAAAGGACTAGATCATCAGAGAAACTCGGGTTTGTTGACCTATACTTAAATGAGAAGCTATTTCTGAGGGTTCTCTGTGTAAAACACACATTGGAATTCAGCAACGTCAGTATACCCCATTCATGTTTTCCGTTCTCCTTCCCTTAGTGATGTCTATTGAAGATCCCTTTGACCAGGATGACTGGGAAGCGTGGAAGAATTTCACTTCTTCTGTAGGCATCCAGGTGGTAGGGGATGATCTCACTGTGACCAATCCTATACGCATCAAAAAGGCCATCAGGGAGAAAGCCTGCAACTGTCTCCTGCTCAAAGTGAACCAGATAGGCACCGTCACAGAGTCTATCCAGGCGTAAGTCCTCTGGCAAGAGCGTGAGGAGGCAGAGTGTGCCCAGTTTGGCGTCAGCCTGGCCCTGGCCTGGCCCGCTGACAAAAGCTAAGGTTTCTCTTAGCCCCTCAGGATCCCAGCTGTGCATCGCAGGGCCAGGGCTATGGAATCTTGATGATGGACGTTAAAGTGACATAGAGCAGGCCAGAGGCCATGGGAACAAGCGATGAGGCCTTTCTAAGGGCCATTGGTGACTTCTCTGTGATCTTAGCCAACGTGTGAGAAAGAGTCTGATGGGCTTATGGTCAGGAATCCTCTTTCTCGACAAACTGAACTTTAAATAACTGAGAACTAAAGGGTGTGCTTCCCAGAGCCTTGTTCACCATCTGTCTATTTTTTGGACTCACTGATTCTCCCTCCATCAGTCCTCTCCTCTCCATTCTCACTTCAGCTCCCTGAGGGCTGGCCCTTGTGACCATCTCCCTGGACACTTTCAGTAGCCTTTTCCACTCTACTCTCTCCAGGCCAGAGCAAACTAGACAGAGATCAGCTTATATCCTTCTGCCGATCAAAATTCTTCAACAACTTCCTATAACTATGGCATGCAGCCTACCATTTAGGCCCTCCACAATCTGGGGCCCCTTGCCTGACCTTTCTTGTCTGCATTCTGCTCCTCCCCAGGTCCTCTGGGCTTTAGCCAAACTGTCTCACACACTTCATTTTCACATTTCTGCACTTTTTCATCCTTGACTCCTAGAATGCCTTCCCTTCTACCCAGGTGCCAAATGTCACAGTCCACGAAGCCTTGCTTGATTTTCCCACTACTTATGCCCACTCAGCAGCGACCTAGAACTTTGGGACCCTCTTAGACTCTTTCCTTATAGCCTATTCATTTTTGTTATGTGCTGTATCCCCCATTAGCCTGGGCTCCTTGGTCTGACCTAAACTTTGTCTCCCTCAGTGCCGAGCACAGGTGCTTTGTACAAAGGAAGTGACTTGCTTAAGATGTCATCACATGTGTTTTCTGTCTTTTTTGTGGGGCATCTAGGTGCAAGATAGCCCAGTCTAATGGGTGGGGAGTAATGGTTTCTCATCGTTCTGGGGAAACTGAAGATACCTTCATTGCAGACCTGGCGGTGGGTCTCTGCACTGGGCAGGTAAGGAAATGTTTTGTGCTGAAGGTACTCCTTGCATCCTACCAGCCCCAGACTTCAGGGTGATTGGGACATAAAACATCCCGGACATCTTCCTGAAATGACAGTGACATTTAACTTCATGGAATCAGCGTGTCTTGCCCTTACCTAGCCATGATCTACCAGAAGGCCAGGATTTCCCAGCTTCTTTCCAACATGTCCTTGGTGAAGGCCTCTTCTAGGCTTGGGCTTCTCCTTGGAGTCTCACAGTCATTCAGGTCCTGATTGACATCCCCCTGCCCTTTCCCACAGTCACTCATCCCACCTGTAGAGCCTGCCCAGTCTGTGCTCAGCTACAAGGATTCCTCCTGACTTGCTTTCTTCCAGATTAAGACTGGTGCCCCTTGCCGATCTGAGCGTCTGGCCAAGTATAATCAGCTTCTCAGGTGAGACGTTTTGGGAGCCTCTGAGGGAAAATCAACAAAGCTCTTCTTTCCTTGGTATTTAAGTGGTTAAGTCTGTGACCTTACCCATGGGGGTACTCCCTCCAGTGATATAGTCCCCAACCTATTGCTCTCCTCCCATAGGGTGGGACCCAGGATGCCTGGAGGGAATGCAGCACTGAGCACATAGGCCTTTTTTCTGGAAGGATGGTGGTGTCCTGACCAGCCACACGCAGTTCAGCAAAAACAATCCAGCTCTGGTGGCCTCTCCTTTTTAGAACAAAGGGATGTCTCAGACTCTTCTGTACCCTTAAGTGAATGAGGAAGCACAGTGCAGGGAAAAGAGAACCCAATTGATACACTCTGCACATTTGGTTTGGAGTCCAGCACTGCTCCCTAAGCAGCTGTGAGCCCTGGGGAATTCCCTGAATCTCTCTGCGCCTCAGTCGCCTCCTCTACAAAAGGAGGGAAGGTAGACTAACCAATCTCCAGAGTCCTGTCCTGCTCTAAATTCTGTGGTTTTGTTGAAATGCCTATTTGTATCGCCACCTTTATCACCAAGCAGAGGGGTGGCAGGAGCCTTGTCCCAAAGGACAGGATGGGAATTCTTTTTCTTTCCTGAATCCCCAGCTGTTAGAGCCTTCCCTGGCCCATATTATTGTGCTTCTGTTTTATCATTAGTTATCTTTGTGTATGGGAGCCTGAAACCCAGACAGATGGAGGGATTTTCTCAAAGTCACTTTGATCCGTTGGTGTGTGGGCGATACTGGGGAGAGGGGAGCTGGGCTGGGGGGGAGGCTATGGAAGCCCAGTGAATTTCCTTCAGTTCAGTTGATTTGTATTTTTCCATATTCCTGCCAAGGAAAATTCTGCCAATCTTAAAATTGATCTGCTAGAGATTGCTGTGACGTGTGACTAAACTTCATGTCTTGTTAGCTTTCGATGTTTATTTTTTTTTCTTCTGCCCTGAGAGGAGTGGCATAGCTGGGGTGTACCGCTGGGCCTCAGGATGACCTGAGTCTCAACCCAATCTCAGATTCTTACTAGCTATAGGACCCTGGGCAAGTCACTTCACTGCCATTTGCCTCAGTTTCCTCATCTGTAAAATGGGGATAACAATAACACCTACCTCCCAGGGCTGTTATGAGGATCAGTATTACTGAGATAATATCTGTAAAGCACCTAGCACAGTGCCCAACACATAGTAGATCCTTAGTAAATGCTTCTTCCCTTATTCTCCTAACTCCAGTTTTGAAAATCATTATATAAAACACTAGTTGTCACATTTGTTCATCTTGTGATCTTCTCTCACAGCTTCCATGCCACAGTTTGCCCCAGATCTACCTTCTGTCTTCCAAAAGTGCCGTTATTTCTATGTTGTAAAAGATTTCTGTCCGTGTGGCCTAGCACTTGGATGTTCCAAGGTTCTCCACATGCATTATCTCCCTTGATTCTCACCACAGCTCTGTGAAGTAGGGAGTTGTAAATATTGTTATTCACACTTGTCAAGAAGGAAATGCAGGCTCAGAGGGACAGAGAAGCACCCTGGTCGGAATCCTTAAGTGGTGCTAAGTGGTAGACCTCAACCCTAGGAATTTAGGGTCTGGATTCAGCCCAGGGAGCATGAACAGCACTTTCCGTTGTTTTTTCTGGCTTGGACATGCTCATCTGCAAAGAGAATAATGCCGACTATTGATTATTATTCAGAACTATGTTCAAGGCTTTGTTCTTCTTGTTGTTCAGTCGTGTCTGAGTCTTCAGGACCCCATTTGGGGTTCTCTTGGCAAAGATACTGGACTGGTTTACCATTTCCTTCTCCAGCTCATTTTACAGGTGAGGAAACTGAGGCAGAGAGGGTGAAGTGACTTGCCCTGGGTCACACAGCTAGTGTCTGAGGCTGGATCTGAACCTAATTCTTCCCAACTGCAGGCTTGGCGCTGTATGCACTGCACCCACCACCTAGCTACTGTCCTCACATTGCAAGTTCAGGAAACAGCTAGCAGTCCAGGGGAGTAATGGGAATTCAAGCTAGAAAGGGAGGTTGGAGCCCATTTTGGGGGGACCTAAGTGCTTCAAGGTCATTAGTTTTACTTTCCATTCTAGGCAGTAGAGAGCCACTTAAGGTTTGTGAGCAGGAGAGTGACATAGTCTTTGTCTGTTAGATTATTTTGGTAGCTGTGTGATAGAGTAGAAGATTTTTTTTTTAAAGCAGAACTTTTTATTATTTACAATATAAAGGTTGCAAAGGTATATATGTGCTTAGATTTATTGCCCTTAAGTCACACATTTTCATTGTGATGTACAATGCTATAGTTAATATGCGACTCAAGGAAAGTGTTGTCTGTGTATCCATATTTATAGTGTACGTATGAAGCTTTCCTGGAATTGACTGTTAAACACAGTTTTACATGAATGTTTTGATTTGGTAGCCTAGACCAGCCAGAAGAGCCCAGAGAAGAGGAAAGAAGTCTGATTTGAATACAGGATATACTTTTGACTCTTCCTAGCAGTATTATTACAGTCTTCTAAGTCTCAATATGTAAAAATCACCAGGAACAGTATGGGGGGGGGGCAGTGAGGAGAGGAAGAGGAAAAGGAGGGAGGGATAAAAGGGGAGGAGAGCCAGGATTTGCACAGATATTAATCAAAACAGGCCATTTTGGGTAGTGACTGAGGAGTCAAAGATTGGGGTGACTTAGAGAGATGAGAAGATGGAAATCATGATCAGAGTTTGGGGCCCTGGAGAAATCTAAGATGCAGCCATGCCTACGCGTGGCTGGCATGGGATGGAAATGGGGTGACACGAGCCAGCTGATCACCTGGAAGGACAGGATGTTTGGAAGGACATCAGTGTGAATATTGGAATTGTCAAGAATGAGAGCTGGGGTTGCAGGGAACAGGACAGCCACCTCCCCCCAACCCACCGCCACTGTGAGAAAGGAGGGGAGGTGACCATACAGGCCCACAGAGGACAGCACCAGTCCGGACAGAGTGACATCACTAGATGCTGGGAACTTGGCAGCCGAGGCTGTGGGGTCCAGGCAGAGAGGAGGCCCCTGGCCCTCTGTCACAGGGGCTGTGGGTTAGGAGGCGGCCAGAGGATGGGAAAATCAGACATAGTATGTTATAAGAAGATCGTTTACAAGAAGTTGTGCTAAAGGAAGTTGCTGAGAACTGTGATTAGAGTGGGAGAGAAACTGGCCAGATTCTGGGCTCCCCATATCCTGAGAGGGATGTGCCAGAGCATTTGGCCCTTCTTGACCCACTTGGGTTAGAGGGGTAATTATAAGAACCACTAACCTTTCTATTACACTTGAAGGTTTGTGAATTATCTGCTGTGACCCAACCCCCAGAGGAAGCAGGTAGCATCATTTCCATTTTCCATCTCATGCACTGCCTACTTTACTTGCTCCAATCCCTAAGCAAGGAATTTTATGGCATTAGAATTTGACACATGTTGGGTTTCACTCTTTCTGTTCTCTGCAGAATTGAAGAACAGCTGGGCAGCCAGGCTAAATTCGCTGGTAGGAACTTCAGAAAACCCACTACAGCTTGCCAGACTGATGGATCTTCCACAGTCACCACCCTAGCAGTTTTTATGTGCCATGTCAGAAGCCATCGGTAACCCACGGGGAAGGCGTGGCTGTATCTCTGGGGGAACAGGGTCCTACTGGGCTAATAAATCATCTTTCTACCCCTTTGTCATTGAACAAATGTTTGGAGTGATCACTAATACTTGATATCACCTATGTAGAATTGTACTTGGACAGAGATGAGGGAGAGAAGGGTAGTTCAGGGCTTGTATTCATAGGTTGGAGGTTAATTAATTGTATTGGGTGAGGGCCCAATTTCAGAATTGGGGAGGAGTGACCCACAAGAATGGCTGGAACAGAAGGTCTGGAGTGTAGCAAAAAACCAGCTGCTACTACAATTAAAAGGGCTTGAATATAGGAAACTTTCAATTCTGTTCAAGTATTAAGCACCTACTATGTGTCAGACACTATGCTAGGTATACAAAGACAGAGTTGAAATAGCCCCTACTCTCAAAGAACTTACAGGCTATTGCAAATAGAAATGGGAGATAGTTGAGTTTCCTAAGATGATCAATGATTGTGGACTTGGTCTAGAAGCCAAGTAAGACCATTAACTAAGTCCTCCAACCAGATGTCATCCAAAGAAAACTACCACTGTCACCATCCAAGTGGCCAGAGAAAGTAGAAGTGCCACCTAGAGGTGGGAGCCAGAAAGGGACATAGGAAGGTCTTCTCTACCCCTCATTCATGTTCTGGATGAGACTGGAGCCCAAAGAAGGTCCATAGTGTGTGTAGGGTCACGTGGCTTATAGCACTGGAGTACACCTTCATAAATCATGAATGATGAGCTGATGAAAAACAACACGAAAATGTTCACTAATTGAAGAATGTAGACCCATCTGACTTCCACCCTTGAGTAGCATGGGTTGTGGGAAACATGCTGGGTCTGAGGACTTCAATTCAAATACCAACTCAGTTAACCTATGACCTATGGGAAGCTAGGCAGGTCACTTCTCCAGGCCCATTTCCTCATCTCTAAAAGTAAGAGCTTAGAATAGATGATATCTAAATCCCCATTCTAAATCTGTAACCTCATGAATCCCTTAACTTAGGACCTCTCCATCTTTATGGAATAAGCTATGCTATTTTACTGATGTCCCAAATCCCCACTGGAGGCCTTAGAAGTTAGTACCTTGCAGAATGTTAAGTGCAGAGAGGAAGTTCACCTGTATGACTAACACTGTTCTTCTTAAGAACCACAGTCTGTGTTCATTAAGAAAACAAAATTAAAGTTCAAATAATCTTTTATATTCAGCTATAGCTCTCTACACAGTCAGGTTGTTCAAAATTTGTCCAGTGTTACACATTTTTGTCAGTGTCTAAGTACATTTTTAAATTCTTCACTGAAGTCCTCTGATATTTCATTGTAGTAAGGTGGCGACCCTGGGTTCAAGAAGGCCAGGTCAACAAAATTCAGGCAGGTCCTGGAAACCCAGGAGACCCACATACAATCCTTATTTGTTGCTACACTTCTAATGGCAAAAGGGAATTGGGTATTAAGAACCACACAATTCTTAAACTCTCTATTGGAGGAAATAAACCACATCCATATTGATATTCTAGCAATAAATGAAAGAATTTTGGCCAGAAAATGCCTCAGCCAGTAAAAATATCTTGCCAGTCAGAGAGAGTATGCTATATCAGAGTACAAATTCACCTGCGTGACTTCAGAGGACACTGTGATAAAAGACTGAAGGCTGTCTCCTTACAATAGAGATGAGAAATAGTCAATCAGAAAATCAGCCTGCAGAGTGTGGTGTGAAAACCACCTAAGCTGCCTCATTCTAAGAATCTTGGTCAGTCGAAGGCTCTGCTGGGTGTGTCCGGTGATCAGTTTTCATCAGCGACAGTACTGACATCCCTGCCCTTGAACCTGACTGCTTCAGTACCCTGTGGACTGATGTGAGGATATTTTGCCCATTGAAGGAGATAAAAGTCAGGAAGCATGGTGGGATCTGACCAACTGTCAAGGGAAACTGCACTGGCTGTGATACTATTTCAAGGCAGAAAGGAATGAATTTCCAAGATACTTGCAAAAGGGGAAGATTGTAAAAGAATGGAAAAGACCACCAGCCGATAGACCTATTTTTTATCTCTATAAAACCCTTATAAGAATGTTATATTCACACATACATTATCCTTGCTGAAAAGAAGGAATGTACCAGGCATTCATAGATGACTTTCTCCCTCAGATTACATCTTCAGTTATCTGATCATAGGATTTCAAGCTCCAATGGTGTGTAAATTACTTGGGACAAGCAACCGTTTTGACACGGTTTCACTCGGCGTTGGCAAGGGCCATGGGCTTTTGCTTATGCTGACACCAGCCTAACTCGGCACATCCAACTTTGAGTAAAACTGAGTCAAGCTGGCCTCCCCATCTCTAATTAGTTCTCTATCAGCTGAGTGCTGCCTTTCGGGCTATAAATACATTCCATCGCTCTCTTTTGCCACGCTTTCCAGCCTACAATCTTTAAGAATGGCTGTTGCTTCAAGAAGAAGGACAAAAGTTGTAGCTCTTAAAGAGCATACATTTTCAATGACTATTGGAGATGTGGCAGCAGCTAGTGGTGTAGGTGAGTCAAGTGCTTTCGAGGACCATTCAAGCCAATAATGACATAAGAGCAGTTATACCAAAGCGAAAAGGAAAGTGTGGCCAAAAATGAAATATAATGCCAGCAACTGACAAACTATCTCTGGGAAACAAACTAATCCTCACAAAATAAGCAAAGTTCTTCGGAGTGACCCGGAGGCTCCAGGGATGGGTGTTGAGCCCTCCGTAGTGCTTCATACGGTTCTTAAAGTTAGAAGAACGTCAAGAAAGCCAGTTTAAAAAAAAAAAGCTGCTAACTTTTGAAGAAAAAACACTAAGATAATACAAAGGCTGGATTACTAAAACTGGGAAAAGGGCCACAAAACTACAGAAATTCACTTTCAAGAATAATCCGAAACCATTGTCCGAAGTCCAGATAAGCCTGTAGGAAATGGACACTTTAAAATATAAAGCATCCCTGAATGAAGTGAGCAGAACCAAAAGGACATCGTACACAATAACAGCCAAGTTGTGCGATGACTGATATTGATAAACATAACCCTTCCCAGCAAAATAAGGATCTAAGACATCTCCAGAGGCCTTGGGATGAAAAATGCTGTCCACATCCAAAGAAAGAACTATGGAGTTTGAATGCAGATGGAAGCAGACTATTTGCTATTTTTTTGGCTTCTGTTGTGTTTTGTTTCCTCTTTCTGGTGGTTCCTCCTATTGGTTCTAATTCTTACCTACAACATCACTAATGTGAAAATATGTTTAATAGGAATGTGTATATACATATATGTGTGTGTGATATTGTGTGTGTGTGTATGTGTGTGTGTGTGTGTATGTGTATATATATATATATAGCCTATACCCGATTGTGCACCGTCTTGGGGTGGGTGGTGGGGAGGAAGGAGGAGAAAAATTTTAAACTCAAAAGCTTATGGAAGTGATTGTTGATAAATCAAAATAAATTAATTTTAAAAATAAAGCATCCACCAAAAAAAAAAGGCTTAAAAAAATTTCCAGTGGGTCTGAGAATCTTGTGCCCTTTGAGGAAATTATGAATTCTGATATAAACATAGTGATATACTGAAATGCACTTAAGTTGTTCCGGAATTAAGTCCCAATATGGAAATGGACCATTGTAACAAAGCCTTGAACAATGCCACACATCACAAAAGATGCGACCACAATTAAGAAATTTATCCAAGCCATGGAAATAAATATACTTTAATGGCTTAGAAACTCACCTTATTTGAACTGCTAGACAAGTTTTTGAGGGGCTGCAGGAGACGGATGTGCCCTCAGGGCCCTCCCTGGCTGGGGTCTGGCCTGTCTTTGGGCCTTCTGCCATTATCCTACCTCCCCCCACTGTGGGTGGGTCCATCTAGGCCCTGGCCCGTACCCCAGGGCCTCTGTGGCCTGACTGGTGTGTGGGTCCACCCGGCTTTAGTGACTTTGACTGCCCTTGTGCCACCAACCAGTTGTTGACCTTGCAGCAACTATGGAGATGGTCTTATGCTATGTCTCTGTCATGATTTTGGAAAGAAAGTCAACAGCCTGTCAGGCATCCCCAGACCTTGCAACTTTTGTGGCCCAAGATTGCTGAGCTTCAGAGGAACCCATAGAGATGTGGACATCAACCAGTTCACCCCAGAAGACTCCTTCGCCAGTTTTCTCCCCACAGGACCAGGCTGAACAACGGATCTAGGAGAAGCTTCTGGGACTTGATCTGCTTCCTATCCCTCCACTCTCTGGCAGACAACTCTGCCTCAGAAATTCTGAGGTCACTTGGCCACCACTAGTTTTAGTGGCCAGGCCTTAAAAAAGATTTCTTTGCCATCTTCAGCCTTTAACCCAATAATAAAAGCAGGCAGTAGGGGGAAGACCGGGCCTTCATGTTACCTCTAGACCTGGAAGAAACTCCAGAGGAAAAACCCTTGCTCCTTCCCCCATAATAAAACTTTGGTTTTACAAGGATTGTAGGGATTCTTTGGACTATACTGGCCACCTGTTTGATGCTAGAGCAAGTTTGAATGCCTAGTAACAAAGCAAGGTAAAAGATTTTTTATTCAAGTTCCTACTAATGAAACAAAATCAATGTTCTATATGTGGTGTGTGGAAAGAAAAGAAAAGAAAATCTATGGGCTATAATCAAAGTTAGACTTTGAAAAATGGCCTGTTCATCAAAGTACTCTTTATATCAAGAGTGATGTGATTTCATGATGAATTAAAAATCCTATGAACTCAATACCAACTTGTGTGAAAGGAGTGATTGCAACAAAATAAGGACCTATTGCATATGAAGTTATAAAATTTATCAATAAATTTAATCATTTTATTTTGTCCCAGTTAATTTGCACACTACTGTATATAAACCTTAGAGATCATTCTAATCCAGCCGCCTTGTTTTAGAAATAAGAAATATGGGAGC